TAAACTACTCAATCAATATATGATTTTGGAATGTCTCTCAAAATAAATACTATCCTAATTATACTGGACACAACTGCAAACAGGACAAAGCCCCTGCTCTGTTTGTGGAATGTGTGTTGTAATAGAGGCAAGAGTAAACAAGTGCACCCATGTCATAGTTTCAAATGTGAGTAGAATAAAGCTTAAAAGGCATAAAGGCCAAGTGTTGGGGAGGGGAATGGGCCATTTTAGAAAATCCTTCACTGTGGAGGTGAAATATGAGTAGTGAGTAAAATGTGGATTCCAGACACATGCAAATCCACTGTACCAATTTTGCTGTTTTTTAAAAAAAAGGAGTAAATACAGGTACTTTAAAATAAGTGAAGAAAGAATCCAGGTTATAGTAACAGGAGTAAAAATGTGAAAAGAGAAAAACAGAAAATAATTTTGGATAGTCTACCTGATAAGCATGTTCTTTTATATTTTATCAACAATTCTTCTTTATGTAGCAATCAAAACAAAAAAAATGAAGAAAGTCATCCAATTTTCTGACTTTCACAGAGACTAATGGTTTACAAGAAGTTATTTTTTAAATCATGTAAACTATATATCGTCTTCTAATCAATATGAGGAAATCAATGATCCAATGATGTCTAATGAAATTTGAGCTATGTAATGCTTCTCCTAGTTCTTTAAATGAGGAAGTTTGAATTACATGGATCAATAGAAAACGATCCACACTGCCCTTGCTGGCAGACAGCCTGGCCAGGAGGAGGAAACATCCAACTAAAGAACTAGGTTATGCAGGAACTTGGTGGAATTGCTTTTGCCTTTAAAATTTGCAAAATGTCTTGCTCATCTGTTTGTTATGACATTTCTCCTATTTGACTTGTAGTCAGTTTTGGATTTGACTTTTGGCCATAAACACATTGCCTGCTATTTCAGAACAAGAGTAGCACTCTAATCATTGTTTTACTCCTGACCCAGCAGGAAACTATACATGCTAGGTATAAATAAATATTTGCCTCATTTACTCTTCCACTAATTCCAGTTTTAATAGTTGCTCCATTTGAATTGCTCAAAAATCAATGTTATACTGATGTATATATTGAGTTCTTACTTCTAACCCATCCATACCCATTCATTACCTACTCCCACTTTGTCCCACATATAATATGCCTAACAGTTAGCTATATTTTTCTGGATCCTTTCAATGTTTATTTATGCAAATATATGTAAATATAAGTAAATAACTTTAAGCCTTCATTTTCTACAAGTCTTACACAAAGATAAATGGGCCATATGCTAGTCTGCTTCAGGCTTCTCTCTTCTCCATTATTTAATAATATGTCTTTCTATATCAGCATCTACAGAAAACATCTTTATATCCTTTATGGAAGCTATACAGCTTATCAGTGTGTTGAGTATATGTTTGGACCCTAAAACTCTATTATAGCTGGTAATTTTGGAATAGAATTTGCAGATAATCTAAGTAGTAGAGTGTTGCCTTAGGATGCACAATGCCCCAGATAGGATTCCTCAGCATTTCAAAATAATATTTATGTTTTGCATTGGGTAGAATTCTAATATGACCATCAATGATTCATGGCCCTGTATGATTTTCTAGTTACCATTATGGGGATTTGATATACTATTGCTTCTCTGATTAGGTTACCTTTTAAAACACTCGATCTTAAAATATTACCTGGATTTAATGTGGCAAGCTCTTAAAAAGCCTCTCTCTAGAACTGAAAACCCAGAAATGAACCCACAGACCTATAGCCACCTAATCTTCGATAAGGGAGCCTAAAAATAGAATGGAAGAAAAACAGCCTCTTCACTAAATGGTGCTGGAAAAATTGGTTAATCACTTGTAGAAAACTAAAGCTACATCCTTATTATATCACCCTGCACCAGAATCAATTCCAAATAGATCAAAGACCTCTGAGTCAAAGCAGACATCCTGAAAACATTACAGGATGGAATAAAAGAAACCCTAGGTCTCCTTGGCACAGGCTGAAATTTTCTTAATAGAGACCCAGAAACACAACAAATCAAAGAAAGTTTGGACAAATGGGATTGTAAGAAGTTGCAGAGCTTCTGTATGGCAAAGGACATAGCAAGATCAATAGAAAACCCACGAATTGGAGAAGATTTTCACTAGCTATACAACGGACAAGGGTCTCATATCTAAAATATACCTGCATTTTGTTTTGTTTTTGTCAGTTGTGGTGCTTGAACTCTGGGCCTGGGCATTGTCCCTGAGCTCTTTAGTTCAAGGCTAGCACTCTATCACTTGAGCCACAGTGCCACTAAGGCAATAATGCTTGATGAGAAATGTACTCGTTATATTGCCCATGTAATTGTAACTCCTCTGTACGGTAGTCTCACTATATATATATATATATATATATATATATAGAGAGAGAGAGAGAGAGAGAGAGAGAGAGAGAGGGAGAGAGACATATATATATATATATATGAAACTAAAAAAATTAAATCCCCCCAACAACAAATCCTCAGAAAAACAACTGCCCAATAAATAAGTGGGCTAAAGACTTAAGAGAAACTTCTCTGAAGAGGAAATAAGAATGGCCAATAGACACATGAAAAAAATGTTCAACTTCTCTAGCCATAAAAAAATGCAAATCGAAACAATATTGAGATACCACCTCACCCTAGTTAGAATGGCTATCATCAAGAACTCTAATAACAACAGATGCTGGAAGGGACATAGACAGAAGGGAACCCTACTGCATTGTTGGTGGGAGTGTAAACTTGTTCAACCACTTTGGAAAGTAGTATGGAGTTTCCTCAGAAGACTCCACATAGAGCTCCCCTATGACCCAGCAATCCCACTTTTGGGCATTCACCCAAATGATCACAAACAAGACCAAACTAAAGCTACCAGCACAACTATGTTTATTGCAGCATTATTTACCATAGCTAAGATATGGAACCAACCCTGATGCCCCTCAGTAGATGAATGGATCAAGAAAATGTGATATATTTACACAATGGAATTCTCTGCCTCCATCAGAAAGAATGACATTGCCCCATTTGTTAGGAAATGGAAAGACTTGGAAAAAATTATATTAAGTGAAGCAAGCCAGGCCCAAAGAAACATAGGTCCCATGGTTTCCCTTATTTGCAATAACTAGTATATGTCTCAGACAAGCAGTAAAGGTCAGATAAGATGATGTTAAAGGAAATGAACCCCAAGAAAAGGACACAGTGTTTTTTTCTTTCTTGTTATTGTTTCTAACATATTTATAAGGTATCACATGATTTTTTTTTGTTTCTTTGTATGTCCCTCCCCCACAGTATAACCGCTGTTTTCACTGTATTTGATGTTGGTATAATTTGGGGATGGGAAGGGGAAAACAAATTGTTTAAATAGGGGTACAGGTGGACCCTTTGCAACAATGAGATGTACAAGGCGTTATGTCAGAAAACGAACTTTACAATTTAGGTGGGGTGGGGCGGAGTGTAGTTGTAGAGCTGAGAGGGAAGGGATGGTAGGGGAAAAACAAAAGAGGAGGCAACAATGCTTCATAAGAAATGTACTCATTACCTTGCTCATGTAACTGTAACCCCCATGTACGGTATTTTCACAATAAAAACCATACTTAAAAAATAAAAAAATATTACAGATCAGTCTATGTCAAAAACGAACTATAATTTAGGCGGGGGGGGGGGGACTAGGGGGGAGTGTAGTTGTGGAGATGGGAGGGAAGGGATGGGAGGGGAAAATCAAAGGAGGAAACAATAATGCTTGATTTAAAAAAATGTACTCATTACCTTGTTCATGTAACTATAATCCCTCCTCTGTATTTTCACCATCAAAAACTTATTTAAAAAAAAAGAAAAAAGAAATGTACTTATTACCTTACTCATGTAACTGTAACCCCTCTGTACAGTATTTTCACAATAAAAAACTTATTTTAAAAAAGGCCTCTCTCTGTAGAAAGGTATTCCAAACAAGAGAAACTTATTTGTGGCTAGTTTCAATGATGGAGGAATATGACAAAGAATATTAACATCTCTTAGCTGCTAAAAGCTACTGACAATCTCATATCCTACAAGATAATAGACACTGTATCAGCACAATTGCCAGAAACTGAATTCTGGCATTAACATAAAGGATCTTGGATGAGGACCTTAGTTCATATCCAGACTTCTGCCCTACAAAAACTGTGATGCAGTAACTTGCATAATTTTAAGTCATTTAGTATTGTTCATGGTTAAATGTCTCTTCTTTGGGAGTCTGAGATTCTGGGGAATATTGTTAAAAGTCATCTTAGACAGAAAAGCTTTATTTCCTTATACATATTTCCAATGAGCCATAATAACTAGAAGTGGAATGTGGCTCAAATGATAGAGCACTAGCCTTGAGCAAAAATGCTCAGGGACAGTGTCCAGGCCTTGAGTTCAATTCCCAGGACTGACACAAAACAAAACAAAGCAAAGTAAAAGTTATTTTCTTTTTTAGTTTCCTTGGATATTCTTCTTTGCTTAGTTTTATTTTTCATGCAAACTTTTAGAAGCACTTTTTATAACTCCAGAAAAATAAAATGTGTGTTATGAATAAATTAACACAGAGACAACCGATTTTTTTTAAACTTGAGCATTTCTAACTCAAGAATATTTAACTCATTCTACTCTTTATGTCTCCATTTATCAAACAGAAAAATATATGTTGTTTAAGTTGGAGTCCTAATTATTAACACGGATTTGTTTCTAGGAGACAGTTGGATTGGAAATTGCATAAGGTGGTTAAAATGCAAATGTTGTGACCTGTGCTTAGTCTATAAAAAATGAGAGATAGATATGAATTGGGTTTGGAATAGAGGAAGAACTAATAGAGAAGCTCATACCAGCTAGAGATGCTGTGGAGGCTTGCAAAGGTGCCCGCAAGCTAAGGACATCCTGAGAACATGGGAGGTAAGGCACTTCCATGTTTCCAAAGGTGTTCATAAAAGAGAGGGATAATCCGGGAAAGCAGCAGCAGCAGATTCAAGATGGCGGCCACCAGAAGGCTGATGAAGTAGCTTGAAGAGATCTGCAAATGTGGAGTGAAAAACTTCCATAACATCTAGGTTGATGAAGCTAATGTATTGACTTGGCAAGGGCTTATTGTTCCTTTGATAAGGGGGCCTTCAGAACTGAAATCAACTTTCCAGCAGAGTATCCATTCAAACCACCGAAGATCACATTTAAAACAAAGATCTATCACCCCAACATTGATGACAAAGGGCAGTTCTGTCTGCCTGTTATTAGTGCTGAGAATTGGAAGCCAGCAACCAAGACCGTCCAAGTAATCCAGTCCCTCATAGCACTGGTGAATGACCCCCAGCCTGAGCACCCCCTCCGGGCTGACCTAGCTGAAGAATACTCTAAGGAGCCTAAAAAATTCTGTAAGAACGCTGAAGAGTTTACAAAGAAATATGGGGAAAAGCGACCTGTGGACTGAAATCTGTCGTGAACGATTCCAGCAAGTGTGAACAGAGACCCTGAGCAAAGCAGGACTCTGTGGAAATTTGACATGTGCCACCGCCTGGCGTTCACTTGTGACAGTTACTAACTTTCTACAGTTTTCTTAATCAAAAGTGGTCTAGGTAACCTGTAAAGAAAGGACTAAAAATTTCATATGTTCTAGTTCGGCTTTCTTTGTTTTAAAAATCACGGCTTCAATCTACTTCAAAAGAATGGCGTTTCTTTTCTTGTCCAAATTTACCCCAAATCTTCAGGTTAGTCCAGAGGGTTGGGAAAAAAAAAAAAAAGGTTGTGATTCCTTTCCCTCTCCTGCCCTTGCAACTCCCACTTTCTTGCATTTAGTTTATTTTTCAAGTAATTCACTTCCCCAGGCCCAAGTCTTATTGCCTCCCTCTACAAACTGGCAGTGGTGACTTTTCTTCTGTCACACTGCCCTGTGGGAGCAGGTTCAGACTTTTCCTGATACCAGTTTATAACATCCTTTAAAAAAAATGACAATAAAAGCAAGCATCCACACTCCACGCACATACCTCCTCTCTTTAAAAATTATTAATAAAAAAAAAAAAAAAACAAGAAAGGCCACCCAAAGAGAGGCCCAGCTCCTGTATAAAATCCTGGTTGTTTCCACAGTACTGTGGATGGAATGGGCAAAAGCTCCACTGTTTGTATGTGGCCAGGTCTGTGGTGATCCTGGTGTTAGGGCCTGCCAGTTGAGGATGCTGTGCACTTGTGTGATGAATTTCTCACCAGAAAGCTCTCAAAGGTCAGCATCCCTTCATGCAGCCATGTTCGAAGATCCACTGGTCATCATAAAGCAAAAGCCAGAATATTCTTTTGGAGTTCCAAGCTCCTCTACCACCGAGCTCCTCTCCCATCTGAATAGGCCACAGAGCTCTCCAACTCAGTGCGCCAGTCCCACCACAGCCCTCCCTTGGCAGATTGGACCCTGTGCAGAATTGGAATTGGGACTCAGCACCAGTCTGGGGTCGCTCGGGTTCCTACTGGCCTCTTCCTTTGGAGCAGCTGCCAGCCCAGAACAGGACAAAATGGCCTTCCCTCTCTTTGGACTCACAGCCTTTGTAGAGTCAAGCTGAGTCAAGCTCCACTTGAAGCTCACTCAATACCCTTTCAATGTGTTTTATATGGTTTTAAATGCCTTTTTTTTGTAGAAATAAAAATTGATCTTAGAATTAAAAAAAAAAAAAAAAGATAGGGATAACCTTATTATCCTTACCATGCAAGTTTCCAAGGGTCCTGCATTAATTTTCCAGGGTTTTCACAATGAAGTATACCAGCAGCTGCTTTAAACAACAGGGAGTTTTTGTCAGGCAATTTGGAAGTTAAACATCCAAAATCAAGGGCCCAAGGACCCAGTGGTAGGCCATTTGACTTTAAAAGATGGGAGGGTCAGTGTCTTTTGAAACTAAAAGGGGAAATCTGTTCCCTGCCTCTGGCTGGTCTTCTGGTAGCTTCAGGAGTTCCTCTCTGGTAGACTGTATTTTCCCTTGTCTTCTCTCATTTTCTTTAGGTCCAAATTCCCTCATTGTATGAGGACACAATGACTTTGAAAAAGGCACACATAATTTTGGGGGGAAGGTTACAAACTTTTTCTTATTAAAACCAATTTCTTGTACAAGGCAGGCTCATTTAAAATACTTTTCTCTATATACAAAACATCATCTCTCACATTGCTTCTTCAAACCCAGTTTCATGGGGTTTTCTTGTTCCATTTTCATATATATTCACATACAGATTATGATTATTTACTCGCCTTACCTATTTCAGTTCATTCACCTTTTATGCATTCACAAAAACAATATAGATCACAAAAGGACACAAGAGGTTAGCACTTCAGTTATCTTCGGCATTACACAGTTCAACCAATAGCAGTTTTCTTTTGTAAATATAAAACAACCATTCAATTCCAACTTCAAAGAAAATTTACCACCTAATAACTAAGTTCCATGTGATTTTTTTAAATATTTTATACACATATATTTTATTGCAAAAATACTGTACAGAGGGGTTACAGTTATATGAATAAGGTAATGAGTACATTTCCTATAGAGCATTGTTACCTCCTCCTTTGTTTTTCCCCTACCATCCCTTTCCACCCCACCTCCCCAACTCCTCCCTCCCTCCTCTCTCCCCTGATGTTGTAAAGTTCATTCTCAATATAGTGTCTTGTACATCTCGTTGTTACAATGGGTCAACCTGTATCCTTGTTTCATCATTTTGTTGTTTCCCTTCTCCGCCCCAAATTAGAAACATGTACATACAAGATGCAGGGCACTGGAATCAAATACAGTGAAAACATGATTATACCATGGGGGAAGAACATACAAAAGAAACAATAAAATCATATAATACATTATAGATACATTAAAAACAACAGAAAGAAAGATAAAAATCACTTGTGCCCCTACCTTGGGGTTCATTTCGCTTAGCATCATCTTATATGGTCATATGTACATAGCTTTTGACCTTTTCTGCTTGTCCTAAACATATACTAGTTATTGCAAATAAGGGAAACCATGGGACCTATGTTTCTTTGGGCCTAGCTTATTTCACTTAATATAATTTTTTTTCCAAGTCCTCATTTCCTAACAAATGGAGTGATGCCATGTGATTTTTTTGTTACAGAATAACATTAAAAATAATGTAAAGTTAAACTTCCCTAAGCCTAGGCTTTTCACAAATCTTGACTGATGAGTTCAGCTTAAAAAATGTAGGGGGCTATGCTTTCTTAAAAAAAATCTTCAACTCATCAGATATTTGAGGAGAAAGATCAAACAAGTTAACTAAACTCCAAACTTGTCAGCTACCAGGACCCTTGGAAATAAAAAGGCTTACTTTTATCTAATTGGCAGTATTTGCAACCTAGCTAGTATTTCAGAGAAAATGTAAACATAAAATTTTATGTCTTAGATTTTAATAAGTTTGCTTTTCTAAATAAACTTTATTGGAAGAAATTAAGATCTTACAAGATTTTAAATAGAAGAAAATATTAAAAGCTAATGATGAGGATTATTATAGCCTCCAATACTGAGGCTTCATCGTTTGTTTCCTTTTATTGGTCACTATATCAACTGCTATTATTGCTGGTCGGAGCTTTTGAAAGCAGACATACCTGGCCTGAATATAAATAATTATGTGCTAGTATCACACAGTAGCCTGGTTCAGATCTTTACAATCCTTTTGTTCTTCCAGTATTGTTTAACTTCTCTTACTTATAGTTTCTTTGGAGATAATAGAGATACCTTTGTTAGAGAAGAGTACAGGCTTGAGAAAAAGACTGGAAAGAAAGAATGAATTTGAACCAAACACAACTTTTTTTTCCCCTTATGGCATCTATAATTCTACATTTCTCTTCTGTATGCATGCAAAGTATATTTGCCTTTGCCCTTTATTTGTGAGAAGAACAATGGACTGAGTCTAAAGCAGCTTTTCTTTCTTCTTTTGTCTGCTGCTTCCCCCTTGAGCTTTCTCTCCCTTTTTAACTGCCATATCTCCTTTCCTTGCTGCAGAAACTAGCAATCAGCTATGAATGTTAGGCTTTTTGGAAGCACCCTATACTTAAGATATCACCCTCAATTCCATTTTCATCATTGGAAATGGAATGTCCTCAACTCTTTGAAAATTATGCTAAGTCATTCGGTTCAAAAAAGGACACTTTATTATTTTACTTATAATTACTTATGATTTACTTTAACCTTCAGTTTTTGTTTCTTTTAATCCATAAATATGATGTTTCATTCTTTTATAGATACTGTATGGAACATTGAAGAAAAGGGAGAAAAAGAATGAAGTTGGACAGAGTGAACAAATTTTCAGATAGGATAGATGTAAGATAACTGTTTATCTAGCTTAGGTAGATACAGCAGAGGAAATTATATCTTACTGTACCTTCTTATCTGCTTAGTGTAACTATAATAAGAAATTATAGAAAAATGAATCACTGAGATCTTCTGGGTACATCAAGCCTTTACAGATGAGTAACCTGAAGACACAATCTTGGAAAGAGTGGCTCCTATGCATCCCACTGACTAACCAAAGTACACATTCCCTCCAGCTGCTTTTTAGTACACAGTCTTTCAGATTTATTTTGCTGCCATAATAAATTCTGTGATCAAATTTTATATTTAAATTAACTATATTAATTTAAAATTTCCACCTATATATCACCTATAAATTCTATAAATAAAGATAAAGGCCAGGTAGACTCAGGTAGATATTGACTCAGAGTCTCATAAGGTTAAAATCAAGTGGTGTCTGTGCTGGGCTTTTACCTGAGTACTGTGGGGAAGAACCTGTTTTCAGGCTTACTCAATCTGTTGGGAAAATGGTTCCTTATAATGTTAACAGTGAAGTATCTCAGACTTCAAGCTCTACTATAGAATTGTTTAAAAAGACAGCTTGGTTTTTGGCCACAAAAATAAACTCAAAGATCAGTGGGACAGACTAGAAGATGTGGAAGTAAAATCTATAAAGGGAGCCAAAAATATACAGTGGAAAATAAAAGATATCCTCTTCAGTAATTGGTGTTGGGAAAACTGGGCATCAATATGCAGAAGAGTAAAAGTTGGATTCCTGTTTGTCAACATGTAATAATATCAACTTAAAGTGGATCAAAGACCTCAACATCAGACCTGAAACTTTGAAATTACTGCAAGAGGGAATAGTAGAAACATTTAGAACTCATAGGCATAGGCAGACACTTTCTGAAAGGAGTCTCAAGGGCATAGCAGATAGGAAAGAGACTTGACAAATGGGATTGCATCAAACTAAAAAGACATATGTCAAACAGCAAAGGATGTAGTTACTAAACTTGAAAGACAACCAACAGTCTGGGAGAAGATTTTTACCAGCAATACATCAAAGACCTAATATCCAAAATATAGAAGCATCTCAAGAAATCAATCCCATCCAATCACTAAATGGGCAAAGGATTTAAGGAGAGACTGCTCAGAAAAAGAG